AAGTCCCTCCTAAATTACACCAATTTTCAGTAGTTGTCAAAACAAAACAGATTGTCTTTTACATCTCCGTTCTTTTCCAAATATTCTTTCAGGTCTTTCCAATCTTCAAAAAAATCTTCCGCCTCCATATCTTTCAGTTTTCATGTCATTTTGTCCATTTCTACTAAGAATAGTAGTTTTCTTATCCAGTCACTAACTTCCGGTACCTGGTCTTGTTTCCAATATTGGGCATATGTCATTCTTGCAGCAGTAATCATATACCACATTAGAGTTCTTTTCGCCATATTAACTTCTTCCATTTTTAATCCCAACAAAAGAATTTCTGGTTCTTTTTTAAATTTACACTTTGTAATTTTCTCCATTTTTGCATGAATCTCAGCCCAAAAGTTCTTGGCTTTTTCACAAGTCCACCACATGTGATAAAACGAGCCTTCACATTTTTTACATTTCCAACATTTACTAGACATATTTGTATTCATATTAGCAATCTTTTTAGGTGTCATATACCATCTGCCCCTAAAACTTTTAAAGTAAATCTCCCCTGGCAACAGAAGAAGAAAACCAAAGCTAAGAAGAAATCTAAGTGAAGATCTGAGATTACCTATGTTGACATTTAACTTACTTATATTCTCAACCAGATATGCTGTAATATAAAAAATGCCTTTATGTTCTTTCTTTTTGAACACCTATTAGATTTTAAAGAATTGAATGAAATTTCTAGCATGTAGACATATACTTAAAGCATTGATTAGCCTATCCAAGGTTCTTGTTACTCTCTTTGTAGTTTTAATTTTTGTAGGGCATATTCTTTGTAATGTGTAGGAAGAAAAACAATAAAAAGTATTTAATTTTTTTTAAAAGGAAAAACATACATGGGTTTAAACTAATAGATTTATGCTTAATCAATCAGTTTATTTCAGTTTATATGACCAAAGATCTCAAGCATTTTTAAAAACAAATTACAGATATACATCCATCAAGTAATAATACATTAAAATGTCTACGATTTTACAACCTATAAAATGAGTTATAAGAAGTTAGGTTTAAAACATTAGAAAGTAAAATAAGTGTGTAAAAAGACACTGCAAGTTAAAATTCAGCATTAAAATCTGGGTCAAAAGTTTAACAATTCTAAATCCAGGTAACCAGATGAAATGTCTCCAATATAACACAGTTATTTATTATTTATGTTTCAATGAGATTATAATTGCCAGGTATTTCGCAACTGAAGCAGTAATTTCAGGGTCAATGTCTACAGCGCCAACAAATAGGAGGTTACCTGTGGCTTCAATGGAGCATGGTATTTAGATAAATTGGATATATCCAATGAGACCTAAAAACTGACCATTAAGAACAAAATAAAAGGTGCGCCAGGGTCTCGATCGCTCCAGATTCACAAGCGCAAAGCCTGTCTAGGTAGGAAATTTGTGCAAATCATCCAGTTAATTATGCATTAGGCCTTATCCATTGGGAATTTAACCAATATGAACACTGTTCCGATGAATAGTAGTTGTACAAGAGGTGCAAGTCCTCCTTTGCCAGAATAAACTTGCTGTAATTAAAATGTCTATTTCATAATATAATGGTCTAAACCCATCAAGGATTGTTGTCAATTTTTGGATTAAATACTTGATTCATTTGTTAATGTAATGTTGCCCATCTAATATCATTAAGCTACTCCAATTATTTTGTCCTTCATTACTGTTCTCTGTAAACTGAATTTTAGGTCATGTGGACTTTACATTGGAAGTGGAACGGTCTCTGAGAGTACTGGATGGAGCAGTGGCTGTATTTGATGCCTCAGCTGGTGTGGAGGTAAAAATGAATTTGTAGCATGCATTGGCATAACATAGACTAGGCTTTGTTTTGTGTTAATCCTGTTTATATACCATGATAAGGTGGGGCATAAAACAAACCAATTTCTACCAATAAGTGTCTGCGGCATGTTGTGAGTTGCATATTTATGTGTAGCTAAAACATTATAATGGAAGAAAGAAATGGAAGTTTTTGGGACTGGTCAGTTATAAACAGTCATGAGTCAAAGGAGACCCTGTTTCTGAAGAGTGCTGGGCTGCATAGACACAGGAGGGAATGAGGGTCCAGAACAGCATCTTTTGTGTGGTTGCATAAGCATTGCATTGCCAGATCAAATTGTCTGTTAGGTCCGACACTGTCTCTTGCAGTAGCCAATGAAATGTATCTTGTGGCCATGAAGAAGATGGTCAATCCCTTATTGTCAGTGCCCAGTATCTTCTATTTAGAGGCGTAGGTGCACCCCTAAAATGGAGCTTTCGTGCAATTATTTTGATGGATTATGCTGAAAGATTGTGAGCTTTTCTGCTTCCTTTCAAAAGCCATGTAAGCTGTTGGCTGTTGCTGTGTCTTATGGTGGTCAGTTCCTCAAATTTTGGGTGTAGTAGTACTTTTTGTCTCTTATAAACTTAATGCTAATGCAAATTAATTTAATCAGTGACCCAAATGAAGTACTAGTGACAGATTTATTTAGTGCATTTAATATGTTGGTATTGTGCCTACCCCTTAACTGTCTTTTTAAAAAAATCAAAACTAAAATTATTTAGCCTTTTCCTAAAGGAACGGTGCTGTGGCGTCTTCATGTGCTTCTGTAGTTCTTTTAATGCATGTACCTATTCACTGAGGTCCTTATTGGGCTACAGTGGCTTGAGTCCGTGCTCCCTCCTGGTACCTGTATTGTAAGCTTTCTGCTCAGCGGCTCTGTCACTTCTGTATCTTGTGCTGTGCTTTAACACATTGTGAGCTGTGAATTTTTAGAAGGTATTAAGAGACAACAGATGCTAGTAAGCAAAAAGTATTGATATTCTCCATAGCCAGGATTTTTTTTCAGGGGGCACCAATTAAATCCCCGCCAGTTTGGTGTAGTGGTTAGGTGCGCGGACTCTAATCTGGGAGAACCGGGTTTGATTCCCCACTCCTCCACTTGCACCTGGCTGGATGGCCTTGGGCGAGCTGTAGCTCTGATAAGAGCTGCTCTTGAAAAAGAGCAGTTTCTGTCAGAGCTCTCTCAGCCCCACCTACTTCACAGGGTGTCTGTTGTGGGGAGGGGAAGGGAAAGGAGCTTGTAAGCCGCTCTGAGACACCTTTGGGTAGTGAAGGACAGGGTATAAATCCAATCTCCTCCCCTCCTCCTCCTCCTCCTCCTCCTCCTCCTCCCCCCCCCCGGGGCTTAGGTTGCCATGCCCGGGGCAGGGGATCACCTATCTTGCAAGCTGGCTGCAGCATGCAATCCCCACCGGAGCCTCCCCAAGCATTCATCTTGGCAGGGCTTGACTGGGGCCTTCAGCACTGCACAGCCTACCTGTCTCGCACCACGGGAGCGCCAGCACGAGGCAAGCAGGAGCTGCCTCTTTCCTCTCTTCATTCCTGTCAAGGGGGAGCCCACCCTGGACCTAGACTCTGGAGGAGGGCTGGCAGGAGCCCGCATGAAGAGGGTGAAGCATCAGTGCCATCATGCATGCTGGGTGGGCTGGCCAAGGCCGGCAGGAGCCCATGCGAAGAAGGTGGCTGGGCTCGCTGGTGGCAGCAGGGAAGCAGTGTCAGGGACGGGCCAGCAGCAATGGAGTAGGGGCGCCGCACATGCGATATGGGGTGCCACCCCATGTGCCCCACCACTGGCTACGGCTCTGCTTTCCATCTTTGTTTAGGCACAGTCCCTGACAGTGTGGAGACAAGCAGACAAGCACCACATACCACGGATTTGTTTTTTGAACAAGATGGACAAAACTGGAGCCAGGTATGAAGACAGCTATTTTTTTCAGGGCCCAGTGATACAAGCAAAAGCTAATACATTGTATAATATGGGCATAATAGTTTATTACAGAATATGATTTAGTGGCTGCTGAAAAATTTGTTTAAATTTAAAATTAGGCTTTTAAAATCGAGCTTGCAAATAGCAGCTCTCCTGGATGTTTGATATATAAATAAGAGTTGCCTCCAGGCACCCACGGCCTAATAACTTGATAGAAATCTTTAGGGTCATTCATGTGTTTTTCTTTAATCTTAACTTAACTAACAATGTGTACAGTTTACGGTTTACTTAGTTTTTTTATTGATATATCTGAAGACTCGTATAGTTCAATGAACAGGAACTTGTTTATGAATGGGTTGCCAGGGGAATCATGGCCACACTGTTGTTCATGTTCCTTCTCTCTCTTTCTCTAGTTTCCTATGTCTCTGTATCCATTTGGCTTTGGGGGGAGGGGAGGAGATGACAAGGGGTAATCAGGCAAGTACTTTTCTCACTAATAGAGGAAACATTTGTTTTAGTTTCAGTTATGCTGTTGAGAGCATTGAACAGAAGCTGAAGACCAAGCCTTTGGTTTTACAGGTTGTGTAAGAAGCATTAACATTAAAATAATTATTGCACTGTTCAACTAATCTGGGTGTTTTCTTCAGGCTATTGTACTTACCGTCTTTTTTTTTAACAAAACCCCCTGTATGTAGTTGCCAATTGGAGAGGCCAAGTCCTTTAGTGGAATAGTTGATGTTGTGACCAAGGAACAAGTTATTTGGAAGTCTGCAGCTGGATTGGATGATGGAAAGAACTTTGAGCGGAAACCCTTGAAAGAAGCAGATAGTCCTGACCTGTTAAAGGATACCATTGATGCGAGAACAGCCTTAATAGAACAAGTAAAGTTCTAAAGTAAATATGTGACGCGTTTGTATGGTGCATTAAAATGCTCTGCTTTTATATGCTAACTTCAAAGACAATGAGGTGCTTTATAATGAATGCTGATAAATATAACCCATTGTCAAATACAAATTGACAGTGACATAAAGTCCGGTAAGATATCTTAGTTTTAGTCTTCAGTTTTCCATTGCAAAATGCAAAGGTTAAGGCACCACAGTATCACCAATAAATCTAATGCTTTTTCTGTCTGATTCCTGTTGTTCAAACCAAGCTTCTATCACTCCCTTTGTTAGGTACCACTGAGGGCAGTTCAGTGGCGTTATTTTTCCTCTGTGGTGTATGCCCATCTCTACAATGTGTGTGAAAACCTGACATCCATTGTATCTGTGTCTCATGAAAATGCACTTTCATTTTGTTAAATGATACTTGCTTTGGGTTTAGCTTAAATCCAAACCCGTAGAAGTATTAAACATTGATCTCAAAACAGGGTGTGTCAGATATCACTTGGAAGCCAAAATTGCGGACTCAGTACACAGAATGCAACAGACAGGCATAGCTGCACACACGAGATAACGTGAAAACATGGTCACCGATACTACAATATCTGGCAAGGGAAGGAATTCTACCAAGTAACACAGCATATCATGAGTGGTTACACTTGTGAGACACATGAAGTTACAGGATGTGCCACAGGATCATACCCCGCACCTACACAGTGAATAGCACCTACAATAAGTATTATTAACAACTAACCAATAGAAACATACTATCAACTGTTAACATTAAGAAACTATGTTCAACGAATAGCAAATGTAACATGTATTAAACTGGAGATACTCTGTTTGTAATATACCAATAAAAATTAAATAAAAAAAAAAAGATATCCCTTGGAACTAAATTTCTAAGCTCTGTAAGCAGTGCTGCAAAAATAAACTTATTCTAATACACAGTATAAACTAAAGTGGGAAGATAGCTGTGCATCAAACATAAAGCTGGTTTCTGTAGTGGTTAAATGGAGATTTTTTGCTTGGTGCGAGTGGTATTGGCTCAGTGACCATCTTACTAAAGAACCTGCTGGTGCAAAATCGTGTACTTAAGTGGTGGACTTCTTGAGCAGTGTTGCTGTCTTTGGGGAATGGCTACCAGTGTTTGACCGGTGAACTATTGTGGTGTGTACTGTTGCTGTAGTTTCACATATCTGCAAGTCTCTTGTTTAAGATGAATCATTCTATCTGATCGAAGTTATTCTAAGATGACTTAAAAATGAAATTGCATTTTAGCTAGCAGTTGTGGGAGTTCATGTTTTCACTTAGTAACATATTCTTGAAGTGGTAGTTGGAGATATTTATAAAGCCTTTTTCACTTGCTGATCTGTTAACAGACATTTTGGGCCTTCCTTTTTCTTTCTCCTACAAGATCGCAGATCTGGATGATGAATTTGCTGAACTGGTCCTTGGGGAATTCAGTGAGAATTTTGATTCATTGCCAGCCGATAAGGTATGTGGCTTGGGTAGTTCATTACATGGATATTGCAGAATCATATTTTTGTTGTTGTTAGTAGAGTACTTTACAATGTCTATTGCCCATCTTTTGGTTATATGAATGTTCAGGACCGTTAGGAAAAATATGTATAGAATCTAAATGCATTAAAATATCACATAGTAATAATAAACACCTACAGACAGTAGAAAGACTTTTAAAATGAGTCTAGGAAAAAATGTAGAAAACAGCCTTGTCTTTGCAAGTAAGATTCTGAGGAGACATGTTTACGGTTTGCCCCATTAAGTGCTTAATTGAATAATGAGTAGATCTCTGTCAAAAATCTCTGTCAAAAATATGAATGTTCTTGGTCTTCTGCAGTTACGTTCTGCTGTACGAAGAGTAACCCTGGCTCACAAAGCAGTTCCTGTGTTTTGTGGGAGTGCGTTGAAAAATAAAGGGGTTCAACCATTGTTGGATGCCATCACCATGTACTTGCCTGCTCCAAATGAGCGCAATTATGAATTTTTGTGAGTATAAAATGGCATATCTTGATAACAGATTCATTTCATATCTTTTCTTAACATCTTACTGGGAAGCATGAGTAACTTGTAGATTGGGCATGAGAGGAGGGGGAGGAATGATTAGATGTTTACAGAGGTGGCTTGAGTGCAGTACACATAAGGCTCTGATGATCAAGTTGGAGGAAGGTAAGGGGGTCTCCCTTTAAGTCCTGTGCTGATCTCCCTCTGAGAAGAAGAAAAGTTGGTTTTTATACCCCGCTTTTCTCTCCCTAAGGAGTCTCAAAGCAGTTTACAATCACCTTCCCTTCTCCTCCCCACAACTGGCACTTTGTGAGGGTGGTGAGGCTGAGGGAGTTCTGAGAGAACTGTGACAGCCCAAGGTCACCTGGCAGGGCTCATGTAGAGGAGTGGGGAATCATACCTGGTTCTCCATCTTAAGAGTCCGTGGCTCTTAACCACTACACCACACTGACTCTCTGAGGTGGGAGGCAGAGATCGTTCCTCTAGTTTTAATTGCTATTCATCAATTTCATTGTTTCAACCTAACCAGATGAATACCAATTAATATGCATTCACATTTCCTGTTCATTTTAGCTTTGGAATAATCAATAAAGATAGCGTTCTGAACAGTTTTGCCTTATGTACAATTACTTCTCTAATTTTGTTTTTCAGGCAATGGTATAGGGATGACTTGTGCGCTTTAGCATTTAAAGTTATCCATGACAAACAGCGTGGGCCATTGGTATTTGTGCGCATTTACTCAGGCACAATGAAGCCTCAGTCGGCTGTCTACAATATTAACAAAGACTGCACGTGAGTAAACAGAGTGAGGGAGGATTGGGGAGCTTCAATATTCACGTCTAACCTGTGTCTTCCATTGCAGAGAGAGAATGAGCCGCCTGATGCTACCTTTTGCCGATCAGCAAATAGAGATCTCTTCACTAACAGCTGGCAACATTGCCCTGACTGTCGGGTTGAAACAGGTGACAGAAAAAAATGTGAATCCTTAACTGTTGGTTTGTAAAGGATTGCATGGAAAGCATTAATGTGGGGGGAGATGACTGATGTTTTGCTGATCATACTTGTCTAACATACCGTATTTTTCGGACCATAAGACGCACCTGACCATAAGACGCACCTAGTTTTTAGAGGAGGAAAACAGGGGAAAAAATATTCTGACCCCTGGGGCTGTCATTCCGGTTCCTGAACACTCCTGGCGCTGGATGGGCTCTTTTTCCCCACATTCGCTCTATAAGACGCACACACTTTTCCAGCCACTTTTTTGGGGTGAAAAAGTGAGTCTTATGGTCCAAAAAATACGGTAATTTCTCCTAGTGTTAAATAGTGTTAAAATGGGTGTATCCAGTAATTTTCCTGCTTTTTACAGTATATGTATTTCATTAGATCAATTTGAAAATCCTTTTGTCTGTTTCTCTAGTTACACCTACAAGGAATACAGATTATTTTTTTGTGTGGAAGGTGGTTTTATTTTTGTTTCCTCTTTATTTTTAAATATGACCCTTTACGCTGGCATCAAATACTATTAGAAAAAAATGGCATAACAAAACAAAAAAAAATATTTCTAATTACTGTCATTCCAGATTGACTTGCTTTTTAAGTACAAAGGGACAGCCTTCACTAATTGGTCAGTTTGCAGTGCTGTGGAATGATAAACACCAATTATATGTTGACAATAGAGGATGCACTTTTCTGTTGGCTTGCATTAGAGTGCCACTGGAGACACCATTGTTTTATCAAAGGCTTCTGCGATGGCTGCAGCCCAGAAAGCTGAGAAAGATGTGAGGTCAGACTGTGGTCAAACCTGTGGAGTAGAGAACCTTCTCTTGGCAGGCGTTGAGGTCCCAGAGCCAGTCTTCTTTTGTACAATCGAGCCTCCATCCATGGCCAGACAACCAGGTATAATGCAATTGCTAAAGCAGCCGATACGGTTCTGTGCGCCCAGTCCCGAGGAAGTCCAGGTTTTCAGTGGAGTTTCTCAATAATGCACCATGAAAACTGTAAATGCCCAGCATTCTCATCTGGAGCCTTTCTCCCACGGCGAAATGAGTGTGTTTTTCCAGTTCAGAGAAGTGTTTAAACTCTAGCCTGAAAGAGAATGGTTTGGATTCTGTGGATCGGATCCAGTGATCACCTGTAGCTCTAACAAAAGGGTGCTTTGGACTTGAACAGCCACCTTCTGCAACACATGACAATGGTCCTTGTATTAAGGGGAGTAGCAAAAATAGTAACATGTCATGCTGTTCAAAGTGGTGGTGGGAGCCATTTGTGCCATTGGGAAAAGAAAAAAAAACATTTAGCTCTTTCAGTCCTGGCTAGATTGGTCTTCTTGACTGTTCAAACTCGTTGCCTTCCCTTTCATTGCAGGACTTTGGTCTTCATCTTTGGTTTGGAAGCAGATACTTCTAATGTTATAGAAATAACTAGTACATTCTAAAAAGGTTCTTTAGCAGTAGTAGTGCCCAGCATAGCTTGTACTAGCCCAGGTAATGCAGCATCACTGCTTGCAAGTGTTTGCTAGTATTAACCCTGTTTTTTTGTCATTGCCATCTTATTTGGGAAGGGGAAGAAATAATAACTGACATGGCATCCTTTATTTGAGATCGATTTCTCCCACTCCTGGGAAGACTAGTTAGATTAATAGCAAAGTCTGCTACTTTCACATATACTGAACAATGCACATTCAGTCCACTTTAGCAATCATTAGCAAGTGAATTTTGCCATTCACCCAGTAAAATCCAGTGGCAAAGTACATTGAACATGGATTGAAAGTGCCTTTATTCAGTGTGTGTGAAAGCTAAAATCAAATGTAGTATTTATATCTAATATAGTTTGATGTTTTACTTCAGATCTGGACAATGCCTTGGCTTGCCTGCAACGTGAGGATCCCAGTTTGAAAGTCAAGATAGATGCTGATACTGGACAAGTAAGATGCATCAGTACAATTCTCTCCATATTTTTATGTCCCTGTTTCATTGTGGTGTTTTAAGAAAAAAGATATAAATCAACCCTATTGCAACAACCATTACAGTTTCTTAGGCTGTATCTATATTATGGACTTGGTTGTACTGCAGTTGCATTCCTTCAGGAGGTTCTGGGAATTGTGATTTTCTCAAGGATTACAGATTTCTAATAGCATTCTTAGCATTCTTACAAAGCGATGACACCATTTGTGTGGGGAGCCATAGTGTAGGTTGAAAACCATTTTGCCTTTTAATGTGTCCTTAGACATATCTGTTTGTTTAGTAGAATAACACTGAAAGATAATGGAAAAAATAGAAAAAGCAATTATTATATATCAAACAGAGAAGATAAGAATACTGCACCTTCATTTTTCTGTGATTTTTCACCTGTTAGGTACACACACCTTGTTCCATTACCAGTTTATTTGTTCCAAAAGTAGTTGAGCTGTGGCAAAGAGGGGTGAAGTCACCTGAATGCTGCCTGTGTAAAGACGAGTACTGCCAGATTCCTTGACTTGATCATGTTCTGTAAATACATTTAAACTGCTCATTTTACTTGCATTGGATTATGAAATAACAAGCAGGGGACTTAGGGGATTTGTAGGAGGCATCCCATAGCCCCCAGTATCTTCTTCCCACACTTTTTCCTTCCCCGGCACAGCTCCCATAGCTTTTCCCCTCTTCCTGTTTGCTTCTCTGCTTCCTTGTCCACCAGCCAACCTACCTCTTCTGTTCTTCTGTTTTCAGCTTTTCCTTCCTTCCCTCTCCCTTGAAACCTCTCCCTGGGAAAAGTCTGGCCAAGCTGAGCAGTGGCTGCTGGTGCCAGATTTTTCTGCAAACCTGGGACTTCAGGTTTGTAGACACTGCCCTATCTAGCCCTAGCTCCATTTTGCAGATCTATTAATTATATCCTGTATGACATGGGTTAGAATCAGGTACATAATGTTATTTTGCTTGGATTCTGTTATAGATATTTAGGATGCTAGGCTGGCAACAACCAGGGCCAGGACCTTCTCGGTGGTGGCTCCATCCTGGTGGAATGAGCTCCTGGAAGAGATTAGGGCCCTGCAGGACCTTGTACAGTTCCGCAGGGCCTGCAAGACGGAGCTCTTCCACCAGGCATTTGACTAAGGAGCCACATCATGCACCAAGGAGTGTCCTTGTGCCCTGGCTTTACCATCTTCGCTTTACCATCTCGCAGCCCATGTCCTGGCCTTAGCCTGTACCCACTGTACAACAAAGTGACCAAACTGAGCTGGTGTGTATGGGAATTATATGGTCACCTAAGACATATTATAAACAATGTGCTCCCGTTCTCTTGATGTTCCAGCATTTTAATTGTATTTTAAATGATAGGTATTTTATGCTTATGATTATATATTATGATAGGTTTTAATTATATTTTTATGGAAAATCTGTAAGCCACCCTAAGCCCGCCTTCGGTGGGGAGGTCGGGGTATAAATTAAATAAATAGTAACTTTTGACTCCAAGGTCAGTTTCCACCACAAGGTGGAGAAGTCCCTAAATTTTAGCAACCTTTAATACTTGTATCTCTGTATAGGCTTTGCAAATTGAAAATTGCCAGCTGTACTCTGTAACATTTAACTTCAGGACTTCAAATAAATATAAATGTTTGAGTTTAGGCCTCAGAAGTTACTTTAGACTGAGTTAGGCCATCTGGGTTAATGCTGTTTACTCTAACTGGTAATGGCTTTGCAGCATTTTAGCCAGAGATCTTTCCTAGTAGGGCTCCTGAACTGGAGATTTGGGCACTGAACCTGAGATCTTCTGAATGCAAAACATCAGGTTGGATCCAGTCACCTTTCCCACTTAATCTCACCTGATTTGTATTCGTATTACACCCCTCATCCCACAGAGCTTGTACACATGGGGGTCCCATGTTTCTCAGTATAGCACTTTTGAATGGTCAAAGGATATCTCCTTCCTTTTTCACCGGCAGAAAAACTGGATGGATTTTGATCCACAGTGCTCTAGCTATTCCCCCATGTATTTGCATTTGAATACATGTTTAACAAATTTTGAAAGATGCTCCCAGCTGTTGAAGTAAATTAATGGTGCTGTTCCAGTATGGATTGAAACGGCTGTCAAATGCTGGTGGCTTACCACTGTATTGCAATTATCTGATTCAGATCTATTTCTATTCAGTTCTTTCTTTTAGAAGTGAACATATTGGAGTATCTGTAAAAACTAATCCACTGCTTCTGATGTTTCTGTTCAGTTAAGGATGCTTTCATATTGTGTTCGCATTTTTTGGCAGACGATCCTTTGTGGCATGGGAGAGCTGCACATTGAGGTCATTCATGACCGAATCAAACGTGAATACGGACTTGAGACCTACCTTGGACCTCTTCAGGTAGCTTACAGAGAAACCATTCAAAACACAGTCCAAGCTACTGGTAAGAAATCTAAAATCCCAAATCTGCAGCTGAACTATTGGAAGAATGGCTGTTAAAGTTTTTCAAGTTAGCTTTCTGAATCAGGATGTTTTGTGCATTCTTGGTATTAAATGAATTATCACAGATATGCTGGACAGAATTATAGGAGAAAAACGACACCAAGTGACTGTTGAATTACACCTGAGACCCTGGGATGGAGAATGGTCAGCAACAGCACCAATCATTGAGTATGCCGAAAACACCTGCAATTTGCTTCAGCCAGAACTTCGTGAAGCTGTAGAGAATGGAATTCATGCCTCGTATCTTCAAGGTAAAAGCCACTTCAGTTTTTGATGTTCAATAGAATAGAAATGCATACAGTGTGGTTGTAGTGGTTTTTTTGTATAAAGATTTTATTGACTCCCCTAAAAAGGGGAGGAGTTTCGCTTAAAAAGAAAGATAAGGAGGGTATATAGTGGGAGGAAGAGAAAGCTGAGTGATGTATTAACTGTTAGATTAAACTGTTAGTAATGTCCAATCATCAAAGGCTTCTTCTGCGTGTTGTCAAACATCTTTTTTCCATTCCAGTTACTTTCTATGTTAATTTGTTAGTAATGTTCCTTTGAATTTCTGTTAAAAAGTCTCTTCAGGGCACATTCAGAACCGCTTCTTTAACGCGCTGGTTACTTTTCCCCTCTCAGTGACGGGAGGGGCTTCCTCTGTTTTTCTCTTGCCTCCGGCTTCTTTCCCTCCTCCTTCGGGTCGCTGTTAACTCTTTCAGTTCCTGTGCTGTAAGCCGTCTTCCTTTCATGCCATGCCCGGAGATCTCCAGCTTTGAGAATGGTATTAATTTCAATTTCGCTTTTATCCGCTCCCAATCTCTTCGCTGGATTCTCCTCTTCAATTGTTGACTTTTATAAGCGCTCATGAGGCACTTTTCGCTGTCACAATTCAAGCTTTTCTTTTCCTTCACAATCCCCGTTGGATTCATAGCCATACACAGTCCAAATATTAAACAGCCGGCACTCACGTTGACACAAACGCCCAGACGGAAGTCCCTCCCTTCTCCGCTTGTCTTTACCCAGCTCCGACATCTTGTTTTTTATTTTTAGTAAAGTTTTTAAAATGCGCTCCAGGGAAACAAAACCTCTTGCTTATTTTCAAGTACATCAAAGGAAAACATCACTATTCGCTCAGTCCATTCCCCCCCTCTTTTCTTTTTTTTCTTTCTCGCTTATAGAGGATTAATCTCCTCATTTTCCGCTGAAGGGGGGGGGGAAAAGGTTCTTAGTTCATTTTCTCTGTATTTTGACAACTCACAGTTACGCCAGTCTTTTCTTTTCCATTTTTTTCGGATATTCGCTTCATCACTCGGTGACGCCCGGTGGTTCCGCTAAACCCCGTAGAACGGGGTCGCTCACGCAGCAAGGTCCAAAGGGGCAGGGCATGGCGAGAGTCTCAATCTCCGATCTTTCGACCGAAAGAGAGACTCCCCCCTGGAACGCCCTAAAGCGCCCCGGATCCGAGCTCCTCTCATCTGAGGGGCTCGTTCGGGTCTCCGCTTGCGCGGATTCCCTCCTCCACCGCGGGCGGGCAAGGCGCCCTCGGGAGCGACCCGAGGATGCGTCTGCCTTTCGCGGGAGCCAGACCGGAAGCCCCAGTGTGGTTGTAGTGGTTTGTATTGGACTGGGATAAGGGAAAACCGAGGATTGAATCCACATTCTGCCATGGAAGCTTGCTAGGTGACTACAGGCCAGTCACACACTCTTGGCCTAACCTACCTCATAGGGTTACTGTGAGGATAAAATGGAGGCGGGAAAAATGATGTAAGCCATTTTGCGTCCCCATTGAGGGAAAAAGGCGAGCTATAATGAAGAGAAAATAAAATGGATCTAATGCTATGATGAATAAGCGATATTTTAATATGATACGAAGGAAGTTGTGAAGATTTTTTTGGCAGTATGTCATGCATGCCCATACCCAATGATAAATGTAATTCTTGAAAATGTATTTAATGATTTCGTAGAGCAGTAATGGGAGTGCCTTAGTGGGCAGGACTGTAGATTTGGGGATGTGTATTTTGTTAACAACCTTTCCTCCCATCCTTATTTTGAAAGGTTTGCTTATAATACCCCCCCCCCAATTGAGAGAATTCCTAAATGCACAATACATTTTTAAAATAAATAGAAAACTGCTGTCTCGCTGCTTGTTTAATACATCATGCCCATGGTTATCTCCTGTTCTTCAGTTTCTCAGGGGCAGAAGGTTTCCAGATGCTGGTTGGATGGGGTCAGATGCACCTCACTGATACAAACTAGAATGTATTAATTCCCCCCATGTTTAAGTAAGGCCAGTGTAGTGTGAAGTATGTGAACACTATGTACCACCTTCAAGTTCAACTGACACTTGGGTAGAGACAGAATCTGAAAATTCCCTTAAATCACCACATGCATTACAGTAATTATCTCCTTTGCTTGTTGGTGCTAGACAATAAATTTAATAAGAACATAAGTAGAGCCATGCTGGATCAGATCAAAGGCCCATCTAGTTTGGCATTCTGTCCACTCAGTGGCTGACTAGCCCACAAAGAGGAAGAGTGCAAGAGCATTATCTTGCCTGTGCTTCCCAGCAACCAATTTTTTAAATAGTTTTTATTATTTTAAACAAACATACATATCTAAATGCCAATTTCCCCACCATATGGTCGTCTAATATTTTTGCAAATCTATATTTTGCAATCAAAATTTTTAACAATCTTATTCTATAAGTCTAGCTATGAATATATTTTAAGATTACATAATCACAACAGTCTATAATTTTTGCTTCTCAATTAATGACAAATTCTCTTTTGCTTAAACATTCTACAATAGTCTAAAATTATCTATTAACTAAATTTATACCATTCTCCAGATACATGATCACAAACTTTTCTCATTCTAATTATACTAATTATTTTGACGTCAATAAAGGTAAATTCTCTAGCCTGTCTCTTGTCTCAAACTACATTCTTAATATCAACTTTATATTCTTAATGTCAGTTTCGCTTATAGATTTTAATCCTTGTATGCTGTAGTTTTGTGAATATATGGAAAAAACAAAAAAATTCAATTATAGCCAATGTTAAACAGTTACATATACAGAGAAGCTCCTGGCCCACTTTAATCAATTACACTTGAAACAAAGGTTCCCTAAACCCATCTCATTTATAGAGCTTAAGTCTTTTCTTCTTTTTGTAATTTCTTGTTTTCAATAAAGTCTTGGTTCTGTGCCTTTTCCCCTTACAAGTAGAGAGGATTTATTTTAGTGCTTGCTATCTATATTCAGATTTTAGGGTAGTTAAGGATTCCACAGACTCTGTTCCACCTTCTCTCTGGCATATTTTTCCCTTTATCACTTTGAGGATTCCAGAGGTTTGCAGACTTTTTGTCGATCTGTTATTCTTAGTGTAGGTTAAATTAAGTTGAATGTAGTGCTGCTCTGCATCTTGTCCAGTTTCTTGTAGGGGCTCCTCTCTGTAAGTTAAATCTGCTTGATTGCAGTGTTGTTCTAAAATTTGTCCATTTTGGTATTTAAGTTCCTTTTCTCTGTATGCTAGATCCACTTGAGTGCTGTGTTCTGCTTCTTGCGCTGTTTGATCCTGGGATTCCTTTTTGTTGCTTGTAGTCTATTTTGGTGTAACACTTGGCTTAAATGCCTCGTTGGCACCCTGGATAACTGCATCAAAAATTAAAGTCTGAAGCTCCTCCCATGACAACTGTAGCAGGCTGGTTTCTGTAGAACTGTCTATGCACTGTATGTCCTGGTCATCCATTTTAATGCAACAGCAAAAATCCCAGCTCAGCCTAACAACACTCAAAAGCACTGCAGATTATTTGCCCATAGAGTCTTTCAGGCTGACCGTATTTACCAGTTAGTGTCTCTCATAGAAGTGTTAACAACCAAGAATCCTTTCACACAGATAACGTTCTTTGCAGCTCTAGACAAAATAGACTCCTCCATTCTCAGCAATGAAGCGTGATGTCATAAAAAATCACCACAAGAGTAAGGAATTTAACTCTAGAACTATCTTTCTTTCTTTCTCCAATAAAAACTTTATAGTCCTTTTGTAGAAGTTCAAACAATAGACCCTCTTTGCCCTAGCATATATTCAAATCGGCTTTCTTTACATAAATTGTCCCAGCCGCTCCACGAAGAAAGGAAGGGGGAATTTCACCCTTCCTTTCCGTGTCTTTTAAAGATTTTACAGGGGCTTTGCCAAGAGGTCATCAGTTTCTTCAGTGTTGCTTTATAGGTACTTACAGTGGATTTTTTCATCGATGTTACTGATGAGGCTCAATATAACTCTCTTAATTCTGGGGCGTTCACAGCTGGTGCAGTCATGGCTGCCATCCCTGCTCTGCTTCGTTGCTTGCTTCTGGGATGATCCAGGGTATCAACCTGCTTGTTGCTTCAAGCGGGGGCCCCCAATCAAGTCCCTTGCACCAGACCTCCCTCCAGGAGGTCCAGTGGAGCTCGGGACCCCCCAAGAACTCCTCTAAAACAATGAAGAGCCAGCAGTACTCAGGAGCTATTCCTGGTGCCCACTGTGTTGCTGCGCTGCAGCCCCGCACTCCCCCAGCAACCAATTTAAAGAGGCATACTACCTCTGATACGTGAGGGAGTAGATAGCCATTGATAACCCTGTGCTCTATGAATTTGTCCACTCTCCTTAATTTTTGATAAAATTGATGACTGATGTTACGTCACGATTCAAATGTGTATTTCATTGTTGAAAAACAATAGGAATAGATTTGTGTAAGGGACTGGACCAGACTAACGACTTTCCCCAAGGGATACTGCTGTTTCCACTCTTTGTAAATCATGCTGTAGCTATGAGAATATAGTGTGTATGTGTTCAAGTATGGGTACACCCTGCAAGACATTTGAACATTTGATACTGCCTTGCATCCCAAAATAAATTACCTGCGACATCAACTGTAACATCAATATAGCTTACAATAGCACACTGTCCATTGTAAATAACATTAAATAGCAGTCAAATGCTAATACAGAAGATTAAAAAATGTTGTCTTCATGGCTCAATATGAGATGCTAATGCGGTGTTTGAACTTTATGTGTGTAGGACCACTTCTGGGATTTCCAGTTCAAGACGTAGTTGTGATGGTGCATGCAGTGGATGCAAATGCTGATACCTCCCCCACAATGGTTTCTGCTTGTGTTTCTCGGTGCATGCAAAAGGTATAAAGGAAGTACAGTGGATTTGTCTAGAACATTTTAGTTTTGTCCATTTTGTTGGCAGGGGTAACCCTTGATTGGTACAGGGCTTGGCCTCTTCTGGATCATTGTCTTTAAGATTTTTTTAAAATTCAGTATCCTTTTTTCTTAACTAATTTTCCTTTACTGTGGTCGATACTACATTTAGTTACTTAATGTACTTTCCTATAGAATGTGACTGTTCTGTTTTGCATAGCAAGCAAAGGTATTATGAACTCATAGAGGATGTGTTATGTATCGTTACAATTTAGTTATGTTGATGTTTGTGCAGAAGAAGTGAATGTTGCCTTTTTTTTCAGGCTCTGAAAAAAGCTGATAAGCAAGTGCTGGAGCCTCTCATGAACCTGGAAATAACAGTGGATGAGAGTCATCTTGGCGCAGTGCTTGGGGACCTGGCACAAAGAAGAGGCAGCATTCAAGAAATCCAGAGTCGTCAAGATAGCAAAGTCATGATTGCTTCAGTTCCACTAGCAGAAATGATGGTATGTGTGGGCATGCACACACAAGCTGGCCAAAACAAACACTAAAAGTGTAGCTCTAAGTGCCTGTTAAAACACTTGCTCCAGGGCATATTTTTGCACCTTTCCTGCATGAAACGGGGTCTGCCTAACTTATAGACATGAAATTAGCTTAACTAGCTTTTGCAAGGGTGTATGTGAACTATAATGTTTTTGGGAGAGGTACTGAGAGTTCTTTTTCATTACAATATATACTAGGAAACCCTTCTTGAACATCTGGGAAGCACCTCTCTGCTTCATGACTTGATTTGAGAAGCTTCATTGAGGAAGGAGTTCTTTGTTTTGTTTCATGAGCAGAAAGACAGTTTGCATAGGGACCGTTATGCTAACAGGCTTGACCATGTTGCTGTTTTCTCCTCTTCCCTGAACTTGAGACAGGGGAGGGTTTTATGGAAGGCACCTGTCAATAGCAAGAAGATGCCTAATATGGAGCTATGAAACATTTAGCTCTGGATCTTCTGTGAAAGTGACTCTCCACAGGCTCAAGCAGAAGGTCTTTCCCAATACTGCCTGCCAGAGATCCTAGGGATTGAAGCTGAGATTGCATGCAAAGTATTTTTTCAGTCAGAGCTCCTAATTTCCCAGCCTTTAAGTGGAGCTGCTGGGATAAACCTGGCCTAAGCTCTGCTACTGTACTGTGGTGCCTCCCTTTAAACATTACTTTGGAGATTCTAGTAGTCTGCATTTTTTCATATTTACAATTGAGTTTAATGTGACATCATGTTTAAAGTAGGTACATTAGTATGGGAGTTGTATTATAGTGTTGCTAGTGATAGTTTCTTCCCAAACTAGCCATCTATAGCAAACTGCTTAAGTGTGTTTGCAGCTTTGTCACTAATATATGCTTTCGTTTGTCCTAGGGATATTCAACAGTTTTGCGCACTTTAACATCTGGCTCTGGGACATTCACTCTGGAACTGGCAAGCTATCAAGCAATGAGCCCACATGAGCAAACTGCTCTGGTGAACAAGAGGACTGGACTGATATAATGTGAAAGCTGAATAAACTTGAGGTCTGATGATCTGCCACAGTCAAAAGTATGTGGCCGTAACTGTACCGGCATGTATTCAGTGGTCTTAAAGTGTGAAGACAAAACAAACATGAATTGGCATTTTTACAAGAGGTATCGGAAAATGCAAACATGTGTTTGTACATTACTTAGGGCCAGTTTAAAGCATGAGGCTACAAGACAAAGAGCTGCTCCATACAACTTTGCAGGGTTTAAACTGTGTTGCTAAGTGTGGTTGGGCTGTGCACCAGATAACCCTTGCAGATTTGTACTACCGTCCCTGCTAAATAAACATGTGTAAGTTGCCCTGCATGAGTTGCAGCAGAGTTTAAATGAGATCATGAGTCTTACAAAGTCACATGGTAAAGTTCTTTGGTTTTGCCAGCCTCATACTTCAATCAGACCTTACAAAGTTTTATGTGGTAGGGTTGAAGAGAAGTGCTATTATCTCTTTAACTGCTAAATAATTTACCCTGATTATTTCATGTCATCCTTCTACCATCTGAATGTAAGCCAGTACTTATCTTACCTTTTCTACAGGAAACCATATCCACTGATTGGTCTAGTGGTTAAGAGTGCGGACTGTAATCTGGGAGAACCGGGTTTGATTTCTCACTTCTCCACATGTAGCTGCTGATGTGAGCTTGGGTCAGTTGCAAGTTCTCTTAGAGCTGTTCTCGAAAGAGCTCTCTCAGCCCCATCTACTTCACACGGTGTCTGTTGTGGGGAAGGGAAATGAGTTTATAAACTGCTCTGAGACTCCTTTGGGTAGTGAAGGGCGGGGGTATAAATCCAGTCTCTTCTTTTTCTGATCACAGACAACTTCAAATTCTCAACCTTAGGAAAGGCTAGGCCAGAATACATCCACCTGTGTCAAACAGAATATCCATGCATATACCCAAATGTTCCACTAGGCCATAGTGCATTTTCAATCATCATTATATCTAATTCTGAACCTGACTATAGAGCATGGATCAAAAAATCCACACAGTGGGGCCAGGGACAACTTTTCTACCAGCTTGAGGGAATTCACAGGTTTGCAGAAAAATCTGAACCATTTTTTTAAAAAGCAGCCGCAGTAGGTGACGGGGGGGGGGGGGGAGTTAATTGCGAAAGTAGTAGCAGTAACTATAGCTTTAAGAGACTAATGTCCATTCACATCTTGTGAAACTATATTCTGAGAACTTGGTCATTTGTGAGGTTTCTGGGCAACAGTTTTGGATCCTGTCGATCAGGGGTAGGGAGGGAATGAAAGAAGAAGCTGAAGGGGGAGAACAGGAAAATTTAGGTGGCAGAAGAGACGATTGGGTGGAAGATACAGGGGGGAAATGAGATGCAGTTGAAAGCATAAACTACTGTGTTCAAGAACTGAGAAGTGTCTGTTTATTAAATATATTATTCTATATTACTGTACAAGGATAGCAGTAATTACATTTCATTAAAAACTACTGGTTTAAATAAACACACATTCGCAGTTATTTTGAAATTATCTAATGAGAAGAATCTTTCCTGAAACATGTGCAAAATTCAACTTAAACAAAATTCCAGCATTTTGAAGTTGATGGCTCCAGTGCAAATATTTGATGGCATGTGCAAGTTTCTCGATCCAAAAGGCACTGCTAGTAGTCTTACATCTTATATGTGCTATGGATTTCTTACTTCATGCTGACAGAATCCAACATACAAAGGCTGTGCTGCTATTCCGCGCCTACATAAGAAAAAAGATTGATTTTGAGATAACAAATAGTAATTTCGACTTGCCCAGCTGTTATACTGAAACTATAATTTATTGTTGTTACCCACCCTGAGACCTACTATGCAGGGGAGGACAGGTTATAAATAAGACCAACAAAGTTTTATTCTGAGTATAAGCTTTCATGTGCACACACACTTCTTCAGATGCCACACGGGAGCTTATGCCCAGAATAAAGCTTTTCTGGTCTTAAAGGTGCCACCGGACTCAAACTTTGTTCTGCTGCTTCAGACCAACACAGCTACCCACCTGGATCTACTTAGCTGAAGAAAGACTTCATGTATTGTCATAATTTGAGAATGCGTGTATAATTTTCAGTTTCCAAAAATACTAGATTTTCACTAAGTATAGGAGGACAGAGCAGTTCTGACATGTAGGTCTGATTTTACTTTGCCCCACACAAAGTTGCCATCTGGAAAGGGCCTCTATAAACAGAAAATGTTGATGGGAAATAATTTTGAACTCTCACCCAAACAGGCCCTAATCAGCTTACAGTTTAAATATATCCCACCTATTAAAGTCAGGTACAGAGTTCTGTTGTTCTACATCTCCTAAAGAAGCTTTACCAAATATTGTAATATTTGTTTGGACCAGGCACAATACGGTGAAGCTGGGATTGTCAATTGACAGAAATGGGGGAGAGCATAGCATCTCAGATGTTACTCTCCGTTCCTATCCCAACCTTAAAGCTGAGAATGAAGTCTAATAACAGGTCCCAGACACTCCTGCTAGGCAGTGTTCCCTCTAAGCCATGGAGTTGTGTGAGCAAAAATGCTACTTTGTGAGCCGCTGGCATGAAAGTTGGTGAGCGAGCCATTTGGCTGCTGCAGAAATCAGTTTGCTCTGGAGCCCTTCTTCCTGAGCCGAGGCAAAAATGTGTGAGCCGGAGGCTAGAAAACTGTGAGCTAGCTCACACTAACTTGGCTTAGGGGGAACACTGCTGCTAGGTAAGGGACTCACCACCTCAAGGTGCACCCTAAAAAATACTGGAAAACACAGGTTGTTTCCTCAGGAGAGACCCAGTAGCAGTTAAGGCCTGGTGGAACAGTGAGAAGATGTATACTGCAGTACTGGACTACAACATATTCAGTTACCCCATTTCTTACCTAAGCATGCGACAGCGATGTTCAACTAGTCTGTTATAAGCATCTATAAGATCAGTCACATTTTTACTACTCCAGAGTCTCTCACCAATAGCACTTGCCCGAGGCCTGGTGTTATAAGAGGGGTAAGAAAAAGAGTTTAAAAATGGAAAATCTGAAGAATACAAAATTTACACTCAATCTTTAAAAACTGAATTGGATTCCTTATCAAACTGAGTGAATGTCTGATTTTCTGGGTGAAAGAACAAACCAGGAACAACTATGTGCCCTTTGAGGCGAGCCCTTACAACAGTCATGCATTGTTCAATGATGTTCTGTCTACAGGGCTTGGTTTACATCCATGATTGTTTTCCCCAGTGACACTTAGTCCTTCAGCTGGAAAGTTCTGGACATCTCGTATTCAATAAAGTGATCTTGCTTAGAATCTTAACATATGTCTAGAAACCAAAATCCTTTAAAAATCCTAAGCATAATTTTACAGCACAAAAGACAATGAAGTGTGCATGGCTTTGACATATGTTCCCTAAGAATGCAATGATGTGATTAACATACATGTTCAATTTATTATAGCAACCTATTGGGAAACATGCTTCTTCAAAAACCATGAATGAGAATATTTGTGTTACAAGGGGGAATGTTAAAAGTACTCTTAAGTGTGCCTAAGTGGAAAATAAACCACAAGGATTACTCTCATGAAGTATTATGGGGTAGTGACCCAAACTCCTTGAACAGGTCTCCCTGGAAGTTGAGTGCAAATGATGTCAACTATAAGAGCAGGTTCAAGATAGATGAACAGATCCAGACTAAGTCAGCAACTTCCATTTATTTGCTTTTCATGTGGTAGACCCCCCCCCCTTTGTCATTCCTCCATATCCCATGTCCCCCAGAAGCAGCTTTTTGTGGAAACACTGGGATGGAGGAGGCAGGAAAGTCTATTCTGCCATTGGAAAATTTAGTTTGGGTCCAACCCCAAATGCTTACAAGTCTCCCCAAGGGTTTCCCTCTCAGTCTTTGAAAAACAGATCCCTTTAAGACTACTGGTGCTCCTTACTATGCAGCCAGCTTCATGCGAGGGCATCTTTGTATTTCTTGTTGATTTGAATGACATCCTTTGGTCATAAGTCCATAGATTAATATGACAGTGGGGCAATGATATAGTTGTTTGCATACTATGCAATTACCAAATGGCCGTTCTCAGACAGTATTCATTGGGGGACAGGCAAGGTAAGGGAGAAACTGGTCTCAAACTCTCGCATAAGATAGTGTTAAGATGCTGTTGCAATAAACATTACATTAAAATGAAAACTTGTGATTAAAATGTCCAATAAGCAAAGAACTATACCAGAGTCTTGGAATGAGATTAGTTGCATCTACAAATTCTCCCCATAGACAGGCTTCTCCTCCAAGTACCAGGTTTTTCTGTGATTCACACCCTGTGTTTAAAGAAATAGAAATGATATGAGTAATATGATTATCACCATTAATGAAGCAAGTATTGTACAGCCAGACGTTCTCAGGGTATTCCAAAACAACTATTAGTACTAGTTGATCTCAACTGTTCTCATATTGAACAGCACTGGAAAAATCTAACTGAGCACAGAGCGTGAGTACTGTAGTTACATATTACAGCTCAATATGTTTTCTTAACTTTAATCAAATGGCATTATCTGTTTTCCTTCAGCAAGAACAGAAATTAAGAACAGGAAAACATTTCTTCCCCATGATTAATGTAATAAAAAAGCAATATGATTTTCCAAACTAAGACACAAATTAGGATAAACTAGATTAACTTGGGTGAGACGAAACTGGATAAATACCAGATCACTTATTTTCTTAAACTGGAAGGTACAGCAGCAGGTCCTATAATGATTACATTGAAAGAAACAGGATTTAACCTTGTTTAATTTTGATTACAGCATGCCCAAAGAGCAGACTTAACAAACCAAGGAAGCTGAGTGGTTCGACTTTGTAGTATTTCATCCAGTCTTGGCCATAGCTAATGTAGTCTAGGTACCAAGGTGCTGCCAAGATCGCAGAGAGTCCCTCTTTTGTTACTTGTCTTAATTCCTCTTCATAGTTGTTTCCCATCCAGACTTCAACAACTGAATCTGCTGGTAGCTAACAAAATGATTGAAAGACATGGGTTTCAGATAACATGTAAATAAGCATTCTAGGCACAACAGTACAGCTCGAACCTTCTCGTTCTGTACAATGCAAGTTACTTGAGTTCTAAGTTCAAGCAGAGAGGAACAGCTACATAGACTCAGACAGGTTAAACACAGACCACCGCCCCCGCCATTCCACACAATGTCAGATTAGGATCAATAACATCTGCATTCAGCCCAGTGAAGATCCCTGTTATGTGAGCATTGCACCCATATTAGGAAGGCTTGTCCTTTGAGTATTTATAGCCTAGTTTGCTAATGATCATAAAAGTCCTTTGGGTTTAAGCATGCCATTTTTATAAATAATTTGCTTTACCTGTTTCTTTTCTGAATGCAAAACCATATTTAAGGAAATACCATAACAGATCATAACATCAGTTTAACAAGTTTCAAATTATTCTGTTAGACTACATCCTAGACAATGAGAACCCTTTAAAAATTGCTTTGGCACAATTAGATGCTTTAGAGAACTAGTTCTGGCTTCAGAAATGCACAAGTTAGAAATGAGAAAACTGACAAAAGCTGCATATATGATCTTCATCATACAATGTAGTTCTGTGATCCACACATCAGTTA